AAGAACCCCCCCCCCCCCCCCCCGTGGGTGGTATGGCCATGCCACAATCCCTTCTCTTCTTGGGATTTTGGGCACATATGCACTCACGCCCAGTGTGAGTTTCAGACCGCCGGGTCCAGGACTCAAAGTGTGGTTGGCCATGTGGGAGTTCAGCGACATAACCATTACACCATTTGCTGGTACCTCTGCTAGTATTTCTGATAGCCTCCAGAACTTCAACTCAGTGAGTGTTTCCTGTGAGTGGTGCAGGGGCTGTGTGAATGACAGCCAGGCCCCCAACTTACTAGTCTTTGATCTTCTGATGTATTGCTTATCACAACGGTTTGGTAAGCAGTTTGTCACGGCCCTTACACTCAGTGTGAGTAAACTGGGTACTTGAACATTTAGGAACACACATGGCCTTATAGCCTTTTCTCCTTGGAACACAGAAACCTTGACTATCCTGCCGTTAAATTGAACATGTGACACTAACGTGATCACGAGCGAGTCTACTCCATTCTGGAACTTGGAGGTAAGAAATCTGTGAGCAGGATTTAACAGAGTCTCATTTCCCCCTGGTAGGACGGCCTTAGCAAGATTTCGCCAAGCTCAGCTGGAAGAGGGAAAAGTGAAGGTTGGTATAAACTTTCCTGGTGGTCTTTGAAGTACCAGTAATAGTTACAGTGAAATTTTCTTCTTGATAGACTTCCAACTCCAACCCTTCCCACTGACTGTACCTTCTAGTAACTGTAAGGTACCACCGACAGCGGGGATGGCGTCATGTTGTGGCAGTGTCCTCTGCGATGTGATGACCAGGTGCTCCTTGTCATCACAGCTCTGTTTCCTGTTGAACAACAGGAAGTACAGTGTGATGTCGGGAGTAGCTCTTACTGAAACCATAATGATGTCACATCAAGCAGACTCGGTTGGACAGACGGTCATATGTACCACTCTTGGGTATTTCTCTCTGTCTCATATTTGTGTTCACATAACATGCGTATGTGTGTGCACACACGTGCGTAGGTAGGCTTGCTCCACACTGACGTTTCTGTAGACTTGTGACTGGCATGCCCAGACTGTGAGGTGGGCATCCCCTCTAGCCTTCTGTTACTGGGCTTCTGTGTTTTACTGGCCTAGCCACAGTGTGGTGGGTGCTTTTGTCTGTATGACCCGAGGAGGGATAGGGTGAAGACCATCTGGAACAGAGACCTGAGTGTATAGGATGTCGGACCTCTTGGCTTCTGGCCACAGGCTGAGAGTCCGGAATGATGCGCGTGTGACCCATGCTGCGGTACTATGCACTGCTCTGCTTCCCCTAGGAACGAAGACCTTTCCTCGCCTCTGAGTGTGCTGAGCTGCCGAAAGCTGAGAAGTGGAGACGACAGGTAGCTATGGGCGGCTCTGACCTTCCTGGGGTAACACGTCTCAGATTATTTATCTTGGTGACTCTGAAACCAGAATTATGAGTATTTTTAATTACTAGTTTTGAACTATATTTTATGTACTTTAAGACATTTTCAAAGTCATGATAATATACTTCTGGTTTTTTTCACAGATCATTGGGGAGATCTCTAAAAAAGTGGCTCAGATTCAGAATGGTAAGCTTCTTTGGTCCTGTTAAAGTGCTTGATTCTCGGACCCATTAGACTTGGGGTCTCTCCAGAACAGGCGGGTAGAAAGTTAGGGAGAGTATGGACAGTCCGAGCAACATCGTCAGTCAGTCTGACCCGTTTGGTGTTTACAGAACAGACCACCTTATAACACAAGACCAAGGTGTACTCAGAGGAGAGTAACTTTTCGTTTTTTGAGAACGCCCAGAGGCCCGGCCTGGTCATGTGGGTGGTAGGGCGCTGCTGCTGGTACTGGAGTCACACAGGAAGGCCCTGGGTGCGGAGGCTAGGAAGGCCTGTAGGCTTGCTTGTGGCCTCGGCTGGATGGGAGGCTAGAGTGCTGGGGGGTTGGGGCAGGGTCGTCCCTTGTCATGGATACCTCTTTGTACGTGGCTCTTGCTCTCATTTATGGAAGAAAGACATAGGAAAACTGGACACACACACATGCAAAAGAGCACATGGGATATAACATGATCTGGGCTACAAAACAAGTGAGGGGCCAGCAGGTGGCATAGTGGGTACGTCAAGATGGCATAGCAGTTATGTCTCTGGACTCCCACATGGCTGACTGTGATTCAGGTCCTGGACCTGGTGGCTTGAAAATCATGCCGGGGGACCAGCAGTTAGCGTAATGGCTACATCACTGGACTCCCATGTAGTCGACCGCGGTTCTAGTCCTGGACGCGGTGGCTTAAACTCAGTCTGGGCGCCTGTGTGTGCATGCCCAGGATCCTGAGAGGAGAATGGAGAAGAAGGGATTGCAGTGTGGCCATCCCCCCTGGGGGGTGATTTCTCCTTTTCTATCTCTGTTTCTCTCTGTCTCTGGCAAGCGTATGCGCCCTATAGCAAAAAAATAAAAAAAAAAAAAAAGAAAAGAAAATCATGCCAGGTGTTTGTGCATGCATGCCCAAAATCCTGGGAGGAGAATGGAGGAGAAGGATTTGTGGTGTGGCCATCCCCCCGGGGTAATTTCTCACTTCCTTCTCACTTTCTTTTGTGAGCGAGCACTCACGCTCTAAGGCAAAAACCTCTTAAAATAAAAAACGTTAGCAGGGCTAGACAGTGACATGGCAGGAAAGCCACTGGACCCACGTGGGAAAAGTCCTGGGACCCATGAGTGTGCCAGGCGCGCCCATGTGGCTGTGATCCCCGTGGCTGGAACGGGGAGGGGATGGGGGCCTGGACGTGAACACTCTGGGTGCCTGCCTCTGTGCTCTCTACATCTTTCTCTTTTTTATGGTAGAAATTAGTAAACTTGAAAAAGAAGCTCATGAGCCAGCCAGTGGCATGGTGGTTAGGACAGCTGGGGCCCACTTCAAG